GTAAATATACATTGACTAACAATGCGATCAAGGACTAAATAGTTATCTGGATCTAATTCTCAGTGTTCCTTCACTTAACACATCCTGTTTTAAACGATGCACTATCCTGTAATATCTTTTCTTCCGACCACTGCCTGCCTAATTTCATATTCTCGAGTTCCATTACCAAACAACGAGGATGACTACTCCAAAAACATACGATGAGTTTCAGCTATAAGTTTTCTGCAATCATACGGTCATTTTTAGATGGTTCGTTCAATGACAACCACACAATTATCTGGATTCTTTCGATTGTTCTGATCCGAGCGTGTGGCAAAAACCTTAACAGCATCAAGCACCCTGGAATTAATTGCCATACTGCATGTTTTATTCTGGATACTTTTGGATCATTACTACTCACGAATGGCGTTATATATGTCGTCCACTGAATAATCTAATTTTCAAAAATAACCCGGGCGAGTTCAACTATTTTACTTAATGATTTTCTTTACTTAACATGTATATGTTTTCCGGTTCCTCTTGCTATATATTTGTAAGTGTCCCTAGGCTAAATGCAGTAACTTCTTATGGAATGTTTATAACGCATCATATTCCTGCCTGAAGTTTCACAAGCAGTCTAAACTTTAAAATTATTTTCTGGTCATGTTCATTATTTTTAAATCGTCATATACGTCAACAACCTGCATGTTAACCTGGCCCATACATACGTTACAACATATCTCCATGTCTTCTAAATTTAGAAATCATTTGGATCGCCTTTAACATTTATCAATAAACCCATCATAATCGTTGTTGCTAATCGTATTTGGGTTTATGGATTGGTTTATCATATTAGCAACCTAAAATGCGGACATAGTTTAGATAATAAGATTAAAAATTTAGGTACTATCAACTGCACTAGTAAAATAACTAAATCCTCAGGTAGCTGTTGGCTAAACAAACGTTTAAAATCAAAACTCCGTAGCCTACTAGAATTAACACTAGACGAGTATTTCTGAATTGAAAATTATAATATAATTAGGCGTCTCGGATTCTGTAACACTATAAATTTCTGATAATTTTGAATTACCTAAAGCAAAAATATCTTTTTTTCCACTGGCTAATCCTCAATCAACACTATAACTATTTTAACATAATAGTTTCAGTATATCGTCATAAAGCATTATCATGACTTGACAATCACGTAATATGATTGATAATATTAATGAAACTATTAACATAACCGGTCATCAAATCGACTTATAATTATCACTAGTGTTGTTTTTTCTTTTATCTTCATTCACTACAGATGATTACAGTATGTTTCTCTATCAGTTGCTTATTCAGCAAATATCTCAAAACCTTGTCAGTCTAATTGGAGGTTTAGCGACACAATCATGCATGCAAAAAAATCAGTATAAGCAGTCGAGCAAATCTCCTGCAAACTGAAAACATCAATGTTGAATTTACCCCAACACTGACTAAGGTTCAAGCCATTATCATAGACATGAGTTGGGAGTGTACTCCCCTTGGCTACAACTTGTTTCCTCCCTGGTAATCACACGAGCGTCACTTACTGTTAATTATCTTGTAAAAACTTATTTAGCTGAATACATCTTGCAGCATATCACCTAGTAATGTAGTATATAGACTTAACTGATTTCAGTAACTTATAATCACTATATCTCAATTGAATCGTATTCCGCCTTATGATAAACTGCATACTTGCAACTAACTTGTATGCATCGTCAGCGATCAGGTATAAATATGTATAAATAGTCTATGGCAACTCAGAACATTGAGTCTAGAGCATGTCTCTTACGAATACACTCATGTTTAACGATTTTTCCTAGCTATCTGTCCAAAATCCACATAATTATCACTCATGTATTTAAATTTTATTTTGATAACCATTCATGTGTATTAGTAGTATTACTAAATTCTATCACGGTCAAGTAAAAATGAGGTTGAGAAAATCTCCCCGTAACTAAATAAACCGTATCAAACTAACTGGAACACTAGTTGGAATTCTTCCCCACGGTATACTTTTGTTCCTTCAGTTAGCCTACTAATACAGATGCAATTGGAATTCAACTCATATGGACAACTTGCCGGCATAATCGTTATTTGATTTCATAATTTAAACCAAAACTAATACCAATATTAACATTTCTACAATATTCATTACTTTAATATTTTTAAACACAAAATACTTACTACCTATACGTTAAGTTATTAACCAACAGCTATTAACACGCATCGTTTTATTATTATTATTATTATTGTAACCCCACTTTTTATAGCTCAAATAATCTTCACCCAAATTTTCATTTCAAGCGTTTTAAGCATGAAGGCAGGCATTGAACAATAACCGCACAATCCACAAAGCTGAACACGAGACTACTCAGGAAATAGATATTCAATATTTAACGCGGAGAAATACCTAACAATGGAGAAGGCGCGAACAAGGAATTGAATAGACTGGAGTTGATCGAGTGGCATGGCTCGGCCATGCAGGTGTGGTCTCTGCTGAATGTTACCTTATATCTTCTATTCATATCAAATATATTGTTCTTTCTCTAGCCTAACCTTGTTCTACATCGCGTATTGGTAATTGATAGGATAAAGTGAGTTGGTGTAGTCGATGGTGTGACTTCCACGTAAGATCTTATAGATTAGGCAGTTATATCAATGACAAATCTACAAATTTAAGATTAGGTCTATTATTAGAGCAGTACTAATATCATAGTAGACCATAATTCTACACATTTGCACCCATCAACTACAACTACTACTACTACTACTACTACTGCTACTGCTACGATCGTAGTTCGCTTGCTCATTCATTTTGCCTCTCTGCTGTCTGGTCCGAATTGTCTACTAAATAAACTGTAGTAGCTGCTTCTTTTTGCCTTCTGATTTCAAACATCGTTGAAGATTATACGATAACGGTTCGAGGGTGAATAATTAACGAAGCACAGCCACTACACACTTAATCTTACTCTCTGATAGATTCACTTGCTCTAGGCATATCACCATTCATATCGAACACATTACTATTATTGGACTGGTTAACATCACCCTTAATTTCTAAGAGCTGACACACGAAGATCGATATTTGGGCAATGCGTTTAGAAAGCAGAAGTTTGAATGACGTCGGTGAATTACAATTTCCGTATTTATATTTGATTTTCTAAATCCTTAGCAATGACAATATACGTATACCAAACAGGGTGGTCGGTACAAAAAATAGAGTCAAGATCGATGTTCCCCGAAGATGCATTGGATTCTAGTGCGAACGAATTTAATCAACACTTGAAATATAGCAACCTAGTTTATATGTATCCTAGAGGAACGTATACTTCTTTTAGAATAAGTTCACATTGGAAGTGCCGTTAAAATTCAGATTGTCTTTCATTTATGGAGGTCTTAAAATTTCCCCTATTGACTTGTATTAGCAAAGAGGGTCTGAGTTGAAAACTGGCAGCAACGGCATTTAGAAGCTTTATAATTCACAAATGAATATATTTAATTTAAAGTTGAAGGAGTTGCAGTGCCACGCTTTAAGTTTTGATAATCTCCCGTGATGGAGTTTCGGCCTTCGCTAGTTTTCACCATTCATCTAGCTTTCAGTGTTCTGTCACTTAAATTAGAGAGCGTTCATGATCAGGGATGATTTGTAGTGATTGTTCTGTGTTATTCTGCGGTCACCACAGATGTGTATTCACGGAAACTCTGTACAAATGCATACACTGTCTGGAATAGTAGGGGATTTATTTGTGGTGAACTTCTATTGCGAGCAAAGTGAACTAAATAATAATTGAGTTTAAAATCTCCAGAAATTAGCCCTCTGTGGTTGTAAGTCGAAGGTTTTGGTGGTCAATAATGGATTTTTGAAGATCAATAGAATCCACATCGCTAGTTTCATTATCGGAAACAGACAAGCTGTTTTTAGGTGCTCACTGTAAAATGTATTCGTCTAAACAAGCCTGTGAAACCAATTATGCTTTTTAAAACAGTTTATCAAAAGCTTCTCATCATCATACCCCTGGACGTAGGGTATACTTATTCATGTTTACAAATCTGAAGTTCATCTAGCTTTTGGACAAACATAATTGACTCGGACTGAGCGTGGATCTCACAATCACAGTCTGTCTGTTTAAGAGAACGCGTAAATAATAAGTATTAAAGATGCCACAGGTATTTGGAGTTTGACAACGCTTTGGCCAGTGGCATCATTTATTATGAATCATACACACCTAGTGAAATCAAAAGTCAGATGTGAGGAGGTTCGAAGATATATTTGATAGGCTATCAATATATCGTGGATCGACCGATCTAATCTGGTTATCAATTGCAGGGGATGTTGAGCACGGCGTTTCCACTCGTGATCTGGTGCGGATGCATGACCGAGCGCCCTCAGCTAGGTGTGTCCATTAAAACTAATGTGATCAGTATCAAATGTCGAAGACTTACAGAGCTATTGATTTCGGGGATTTATTTACTGCTGCCCATGTCTTATTAAGGATACTAACTCACCTGAGCGTGTTCAGCGTGTGTGAACTAAATTAGTGAGGGGTATTTCTAAGCACCTTTACGATGAGTGCTTAGAACGACCGGACGTTTTCCTCTTGTATCGTATATTGATACTTAACCTTATATTGGCACTTCGTATCTTTAATTATGATTTGGCTGTTAATATGCCTTATCTTTCTGCCCCCTCCAGCTTTACTAATCTCCGCTGTCATCGCAAGAGGGTTCACAAACCACGATCTAATAAACTTGAAGTGGGGTCCCGTTTTTTTCATCGAGTGGTCAATGACTGAAACGCTTTACCCAAACAAGTTGTGTCATCCTCATCAGTGAATATTTCCAAGGCGAAGCTAAACCTTCACTGTAAGACAAACTGGCACGATTAAAAAAGGTACACCAATCTACGCTCCTTATTAGGGAGGACTGAAAACTGAAACTAATATTTTAATCTATTGGTAAGTGATAGTCTGTCTTCTGTCACATCTTTCAATTCAAAACATTTGGCGCAAAATATGGGCTGCTGTGGACATTCGCGGGATACAGGTAGTTTATATGTGGTTTATTGTACTCATCCCTTGGTCATTTGGAAGTAAAATAAAGTGCAGTAGTCGTGTAGACCCGTTATAATTGTTAGATGTAAATTTGTTTCAAGGTGATACTAATTCCAACAAAACTACTTGAAGACGATCAGGACATGCATAGCATTAATAATTACGTAGGAAATATACCGCTTTTTGTGACTATAATATGTGGAATACAAAACTCGTGGTGAACAAATTGTTCAAGTTTCGTTTTGTTGTTCACTTAATTTAGATGAAGAAAAATTCCGAAACTCTAAGTAACGTTTATAACATCTCTAACTTCGTTCACAGATGATTACACTTTTTGACAGTCAGTCATATGGGATGTTTAATGTAACGGAAATTGACAAGAAATCGTAATTAAGTGTAGCATTCATATTTTCGTCTATAATTTGACGGTCGTGTGTTTTACGTTTGTTGTGCTTGCTTAACAATGTCCCATACTCCCCAATTCATTTTTCATCAGTAAGTTGTTAATTGTGTGAAGTCCAGAAGTTCTTATGTAAATGTGAATAATTCCTTAATTTTCAGGTTCGAAAACAATACGTACCATTGGCCCTGCACGAAATAGGTAGGTGTTCTTAGACTTAAAGTTCTTTTATACATATACCTAATGCAATCATTTATTGTGCTTCTTCCGAAAAACATTCCTGTGTGAAATTTACGTATTTTGGAGCTCACTTATTTTCCTACCATAACTCAGTTACGCTTAGTGACTCCACTTGCAAATTCTCGTTTGCTCACCGTGTGACCTTTTATTCTTGAATCCTGAGAGCGTATTACAACAATTCTTTATTTTAGCCCAGTTAGGATCATCTAGCTTGACTGAGTTTGTCGTCAAAGTCCGTATTACTGACTGCAGCTTGACAATACATTCGTTTCCATCTGATACATTTTTTAAGTTATTACCTTACAACAATTAACAGTTTCAGTTTGGAAAGGACAGGAGGCTTAATGGCCTGTGTTAGTCCTGGCAATGGTGGTCTCTCAGTTGATCCAACATTGTTTTGAAAGAGCCGACGGATTTAGTCTCAACCACGTGCTGAGGTAATGAATTCCACTCGTTGATGATTCGATGGGAAAGTCGATAGTCAACTGACAAGTAATTTGTTCTGGGCTTGTGAACGCTTTTGGAGTGTCCCCGTAAATTCTCTGTTCTGGAAGACACGAAAAATGAGGGCATATCAGGTGCAAATTTATCACTAAGCAATTTGAAAACTAATTAAGTCGCCTCTAGTTCTACGATATGACAATGGGAATAGGTTTAGCTTGGCCAGTCGAGCATCATACGGAAGCTTAGCTATTCCTGGAATCAGCTTAGTTGCTGTTCTCTGAACCTTTTCCAGAAGCTCACTGTCTATTCTTAAGCAGGGGCTAGCCGCTTGTATGCAGTAATCAAGTTTAGGACGTACGAACACTGTATACAAAGTCAAAAACGTTTTAGCGTCGACATGACAAAAAGCCCTACGTATTAACCATAAGGTTCTAAAACCTTTGGCGGCTATTGCACGGCAGTGTTCAGTAGTCTTTAAGTCTTGGCTAACGATGACTCTCATGTCATTATGTGTCTGGACAACAGATAGCTCAGTGTTATTCATCGTGTATGTATCTGTACCTTGATGACCGATATACATCACAACACACTTGGAAGTATTTATCGGCAACTGCCAGGTTTGAGACCATTCAGACAATTTCTTCAGGTCATTTTGGAGTTCTAAGCTATCACCCTTACATCGTATCGTTCTTCACATCTTGACATCGTCAGCATGTCGCAAGACTGATGGTGATAGGAGACGAGGAAGGTCATTTACATACAAGAGGAGTAGCACTGCCCCCAAAACTGTACCTTGGGGCACTCTAATAAGCACAGTTTTCCAGCTAGATAACTAAGTTCACCCATACTCTTTGTTGGTGCCCAACTAGGAAGTCTTTTATCCACATCAATAGATTGCCTCCAATGCCGACATTTCTTAGCTTATATAACAGCCGGTAACAACAATTAACGAGGCTCTAATTAATTTCAGACCTTGGTTGAACCAAATGGTCGTTTAACCCTAAAGTGAGTTGATGGTGGGAAAGATTTTTAGCTCAGGTGAATGACTTTGATGGAGTTTATTTTCTCTGAGCTGGATGGTTTGGTCGACCAAACCATCAAAAAGTGATAGGAACTTTGTAGATATGATAAGTAAAAAGTCTTAAGCTATACGACAAGTGCCTCAAGTGACTACTATATGCACTGATTTTTCCGGTGAGACTATAATTTATGGACGACCTGTGAGTGACGCTAAATTGACCTTGTGTGTGTCTACTACTAACTAGGACCAAATGTGGGTTATAAACCAGTGTGAGGAATTATAATTATAATTTACAGTTGATGGTTAAGGTTAGGAATTAGATTTAAGGTTTTCATCGCCAACTGACATCAGATATAATGCCAAAACGCTATTTAACCAAATGGATGAGTGAACCACGCGCCGAAATCCAAGGCCTTTTTTCTTATACCTGATTGGTCGGTCCCTAAATTATTTTTTCATCTACTGAATGTGGTCTCAAACAATTGTCTCTTAGGCACTGCTTTCGTAGTCCAGGCCATCGAGACCATCACTAATCCAGACTTCCTTTCGCGTATTCCAAAGAGGGATCTACTGTGTGGCGTACAGTAAAGTAACAACCGCCTTCATACACTAACAGCACTCAAAATGACTTCGTTCACAGTCAAACCTCTAGTTCTTACTTAGTGTTTCCGTGCTTTCTTTTTTGACAGAACATGTACAGATATTCCTTGTTGTATATTGTTCTCAATATTCATCGTTGGTTTCCTTATCGTTACTTTGTGGAGTAAGTTTCCACTTGCTTTTTGCCAATATTATTTTATATTTGTTGCGACTAATTAGGACTTTTAAATGTACAGGTTTTTGTAGTGAAATTTAATTTGGATGTTAAAATCTGTCTGATGGGAATTTCATTTTATTGATAGAAGGGATATTTTTTATCAGCGACTAGGTCATATATATATATATATATATATATATATATATATATATATATATATATATATATATATATATCCTTGATAATTCCTGTGGAGCTCAGGGGAAACCCTGGAGCTATTTTGATTTCAATCTATAAGCACAATATATATAGCGTGTTTGTAGGCTCTAATTAATGAAATAAACAGTCCAGTTGCTTTTACTGCCAACGTTTCTCACAGGAACCCGTTTCGAACTTCCAGTGAATAATCGAACTCAGAATCATCTTAAATAAATAAGTCCAAAAACAATTCTACATTATAAGCTCGTTCAACCATGCTAAAATATCACTTTTGACTATGGTGAAAACATGAGTCATCTCGTGTTACGTGTATTCAAAATTACCTGTGTGAAGTTGTATGCATATGTTGTTTTTTAATTTCACTAATCTTCCCGATTACTGTTTATACTCTTATTACCTCTGCCACTACAGGATTTGAATCGACCACTGCATCTCTGTGCTAATGTGGTGTGGCAACTCGAACTGATGTACGTACGTACGAAGTTCTACGTTGTTACTGACTGACTGACTTTTTAATTTCAGCGAACTAAGTCTTTGGGTACAACTTGAAACCCACCTATCTGTGTTTACCATAAAACTGAAAGTACATTTGAGTAAATTGAGCATGCCAGTGTGTTGTTGTTGAGAAATAGGTTGTTCATTGTCATCTTGATTAAAGGCAACTACAGATAAATCTGGTCATGATGATCAACTAAGCAATTAAAATTACTTTGTTTTTGTTTTCCGTTTTGCTGGTGGTACAAATCAAGTCAAGAGTTAATGGCCAGAATATTTCTGTCTGTATAAACAACGGTGATCACGATGCAGCTAACTTGATTTGGTGTCCCGTTCCCATTGAATATAGTGCTGTTGTTGATTAATCCTCAAGCTTCTTGAGCTTCCAAAGGTTTGGGAACGTGTCTCAAGCATTGTTTATGTTTTCTCATTTCAGCTGTTCGAATTTTTCATTTTTGTCCTTGATAATTCCTGTGAAGCTCAGGGGAAACCCTGGAGCTATTTTGATTTCAATCTATAAGCACAATTTTATGTTTTTTATATGCATGTCCCTCAATTTCTGTGAAACAGTTCAGATCTTAATGAATGGCTATTTTCTAGTCTACTGACTATATATCCGTATACATGAGGATTTTTGTTGTTGTTGAAACTGGCTACAAATGTTTCACTAGGTTCCTTTTCTTAGGAACAGTCCAACATCCCTAGTTGATCTACATAACAGTGTGTTTCATAAACATCTAAAAGGGTGTTATAGCTTATCTTATGTTTAATTACCCAGTAAAGATGTTTGTTGACCTTTCACACCAGGTTTTGCCATGGGAGACTTTAAACGTGTCATACATCCAACTAATTCGCGAGGACAAGTTTGTGGTCGTGATGTTCCGTAAGTTCTCAAACTTTAAACGTTTTTGTTTACGAATATACAACTGCCACTTTTTTTGGGGGGGGGGGTAGAAATAACGTGCCCTATACGTTACAGATCACAATGTTTTGAATGTTTTTTTTTGAATAAGTAATAAAATGGCAATAATCAGTTATTTTGTAGTGATAAAAAGTTGGAAAACTACATTTTTCATATGAAATAGCATCAGGCTCAACTTACATTAGTTCACACACTAAACTATTTACATAGTGGATGATTAATAAAATGTGGGAAACAATATTTAATCAGAGTTATGTGAATTAGTGATCTCGAGATCACTTGACGAATCATATTATCAATCTTATAGAGCGTAAGTAGTGGACATAGTAGCGTGTAATGAATTCATCAGATTTCACGTGCTCTCAGTCTGTTGGATATGCAATAATCTAGTAAAAAAGATGTCGTTTTACCAATCTATTTTGTGAGGACGTTCCGTACTATACCCTTAAAATCATAAGTATTATCACTTTGTCAATTGATTTGATTCTATCCACATGAATTCAATGAATGTACATAAATAATTAGTACATTTCCGGAAGGTTTAAAACATATAAATTGGAGTAGATTCCATTCATCTTACAACACAAAACGTTCTTGGTTTAATCTCAACAAGATCAATGGATTCTTATAGCTTCTCAATTAGTAGATTATATTAACGTAATGATGAACTAAAGAACGTAAGTGTAGACTAACGAAACGACTAAATATTAATTGCATTAGTTAGTTATACGCAATGTAGAACACGGGATTTGTGTATATCAATTCAAGTTGCCATACTTCAATTAACACAATGAAATGAAATTGTCAGGGCAAATCTCAGTATTAGAGTTAGTAACAGTATTGACGGGGATAGAAAAGATAGGGATCGAATATAATACTAAATAAGAAAATATAAATTATTGAGATAAGAAAAATAGTGATCTTGAGAACGGGCAGATAACAAAGTGTGGAACATTCAGTAATAATAGACAACATTGGATGCTCACTGTAGATGTTGAAACAAAATCTGCCACTAGCTGAATTGCTGCAATGAGAAACATCAAGAATGTCTTTCCCGGTTAGGTGATTACAATGATAATTGGAAAACTGAGGAACAGTTTAGTTGGTCTGTAATTATTCTCCAACTTCCCATTGGTCATTGTTTTTATATACTTTTGTTATAAATATGATTTCAGAGAAGTAGTAATATTTGTCTGATGACTCTCTGATGGTGTGAGGATGATACTAACTAATTCAATCTTATTGCACTGAATAACAATACATGATTGGTTGCGATATTGACTACAAATGTAAATGTTACTTCGAAACTGGTTTCCTTCAATGCCTAGTGTATCTTTAAGGGAAAAGTTGACTACAATTTGTATTTTTTCTGAACATAGAGTCACTTTTTTCTTGCGTCTATTGTGGTTAGAATATTGCTTTCTACCCCGATTAATTCAAAACATTTTATTGCAGTCATATAATTGGTTATTCATACATTCCAAGGGTTAATTAGCTTTAAGTCGAGAGGGCGTGTTTTAATGATTATTTGGATAATATGAAAAGTAGCTATAAAAGCACCAAGTGTTTTGAGGATATCTTTACTAACTGACTTTTTAAGTTAAACATCGTCATTGATCGTAGCGTAGCTGAATCATTTTGAAGCTGAATTCATTTTTGTGTAAAATGTTCCAGTTTTTTTACTTCGTAGTTGTTTTACATAAAATGACATTTCAAAGGCAAAATGTAATTTATGCGAAAAGTATGTGCTTAATCGTTTTAGTGCCTGATTTTTTGGTGTGTATCATTCGTATTAATCTATCCTTAAGTGTTTTGTTCATCTAGCCTTAAATGTATTGGAATATGTTTATGAATTTAGTCCGGTACATTTGCATACATTTCTTGTATATGTGTGGATTATTTGTGATGGCCTGATTATGTTTCATGTTTATCGAATTTTATAAACTGAAGTCTCAAATGTTAAGTGTGTAAATATTGTATTTGTCTACATATGACAGAGTTTAGCTCGTTTATTATTAGTTGAAGTCCTGAATCCACAATGCATAGCGTACTCATTGTTAAGTCGCTTTGAGAAAACAACCTAGATTTGCTGAATTTTTCAAGTGGTAAACCTTTTAATGAATGAGAATCAAAGGTAATTCCTGGGTAAATAAATACTAATCAACTAAATTAGTTTATAGGGTTTTTAAAAAAATTATCGAAATTTCTACACCTATATTATTGTTAGTAATGTTAAACCTTCTTTCCGACGTGGTACGTATCATTAAGACAAGGATATCGAGTTAAGATGAGTTTTGTTCAGTCAAGTAACAACTCATTTTCATTGTACTAATTTATTTAGAGTAAATTCTATTATTCAGCTATAATTAGTTATTTGGATTTAAATCAATTTTTCCTTTTATCGGTTAATTTACAGTGATCTTGTGTTCAGTAACAATTGCTCAATTGATAAAATTTTGTGAAAAATCATTATTAGATTGATTTATAATTGAATCAACTTGAACATAATTTAATTCTTGGGTTTCTATTAAGAAAGCTTGTGTATAAACGGGACTTCACACTCTATGTAGTGGGTTAGCAAAAAGGGGACAGTACTAGTCTCGTTCATCGTATTTAATTTGAAATTACTCATAATTAGCTTAGTTCACGAACGTATCACTAATAACTTTTTCTGACAATTTTTTTTACTTAACACACAACAACAAAATCTTGCATATTGCATGAATTTAATCTGGATTTCTAAATGTCCTATGATTTAGCGTTTATTGGTACATGAAACTGTCAAACATCCAAATCATTTTTCACTAGTTTTTAAGACAGTATTCAGTCTCTTTCAGATCTTATATTCTAAATTCAATTTATTAACAGATGTTTCATAAATAAGATCAGCTACTGATAGATTTATAAACTGTACTTTATTCTTGCAACTAATATTTTGTATTATTGAGAATGACAGCCTGTTTGTGACAACTGACTTCTATCATTTGAGAAATTAATTATGGTAGTGAAGATAAACCGCATATACTTAATTAGTTGTGAACTATAAACATTCACTTTTTAAACTCCATTTGAAATGACAGTTCCAGAATAAGCCTTTTCGGTATAGTAACGATCGTATTCATTGAGCACATCAGCACTAATCAGTAATAATTTTGCAAACACTTGTCTTAACCTCACTAAAAAAATGTGGGTATAATGTTCTGAACTTAGTGTTTCGTATGTATAGCGAGAATGAAACTCAGTGGTCTAAACCCTGTTCAGCATACATCAATTTGGGAATCCGAGTTTTTTTCAGTGCACTCATGATTTGATATAGATATCCGTGTATGGTGGTCCTATTATTTCGTGAATTAACATGGTTATCACCACTTTCGAAAGTAAACGAATTACAACTTTCACCATTTAAACCCAAAGAAATCTAACCAAGTGCTTTATTTTTCGTTGTAGTTACTCATTGTTGAATTTTGGAGAATGTATATTTGAGGTCACACGTAAATTCACCATTAATACATCTATACTTTTCGTTCCTATTTTGTTTAGTGGTAAACCATATCTGTTCTTCTTTGATTTGGAAAGTTGTCTCAGACTGGGGCCAGCTTTAGTTGTTACAGGGTGCCCGACGCCTCAGGTATAAAATTTTTACACGTTTTTAAGTATTTTGATACATGTATATAATTCATGTAACATGTCTCATAAACTCAAAAGCGAAGTTGTATCAAAACAACTTTTTGTTTATCCGGTAATTGTGAAATTTCACTCACTGTATTCCGAGTTAAAGCTTATACCTTGAGACCGTTTTGGTGAACATGTTTCGTACAAATTTAGTTATCGTAACAGACTAACATCATTTTCAGAACCATTCGAAGTTAGAAGCACCAGTTTCGACATTGCTTACCCGCAACCTCATACGCGGAACGCTATTCCTAGTCTCCTGAAACCACTCTCTAAACTACACGTAGGAGCTTTTTACGTACGAACACTTTGCCAAATAGGACAGCAGGCTTCCTTAACTAAGACTTTAGAATCCCGCTCCATCGATGTGTGCTGCGTCTCCGAAACGCGCATACAGGATCCGAGTAGCGTCATTCATTTGACCTCACCATACCAAAATAAAGAACCGACTCGATTCACACTTCGTGTATCTGGATGCCCAGATTCTGCTTCCTGTGGCCTCGCCGGCGTAGGTTTAGTATTGAGTCCTAGGGCAGAACTAGCTTTCTTAGAGTGGATCCCAGTAGACAGTCGTTTGTGCACTGTCCGACTAAACGGAACAGTAAGGATCCGAAAAGATAGGGACACTCGTCGTTGCCTCTTCGTCGTCTCTGCCTATTCTCCCACTGACTGCAGCTCAGATGATGTAAAAGATGAGTTTTACAGAAAGCTTTCGGACCTTCTCCGAAAAGCTAAGCGCTCGGATGTAGTAATAGTGGCCGGTGACTAATGCTCAAGTAGATAAACTAAGCGATAGGGGAAGACACCCAGGTGGATCTGATGGTATCGTGGCTCAAAGAACAGATAATGGCGATCGTCTGTTGCAGCTATGTTCAGATAACCGCCTGTTCCTTGCAAATACTAACTTTAAGCATAAGGAAAAACATCTTTTAACATGGCGACCCCCTAATTCGTCCCAACGTTGGACCCAAATAGATCACATCGCTATCAGCCACCGATGGAGGGGCTCGATAGAAGACTGTCGCTCATTCTGGAGCACATGCTTAGATTCAGATCATGCTCTAGTACGAGTGCGTATGTCTGAGTCTTACTGGACGTAGGAAAGACGCTGCAAGTAAACCTCTTAGGGCTCTACTTAATGATAGTCCAGCTAAAAGTATATTTCAGGAACAACTAGGAAAACAGTTAGGCAGCCATGTATGTGATGCCCACCCCAATGCAGCATGGAATGATATCCGAAAAGCTGTGAAAACAGCAGTGATATCTGCTAGTACGGTAACCCGTAAGGTTAGGGAGGAACACTGGATCTCAGCAGCATCTATCGCACTGATAGATGCTCGGAAACTCATTCCACTTGGCTCTGAACATAATGAAGAGCGGAGTCAGCTTAAGCGCAAGCTGACAAGAAGCCTACGCAATGATCGTGAACAGTGGTGGGTAGCGAAAGCAAGAGAGATGGAAAAGGCAGCGGCAATAGGTAATAGCAGACAATTGTTCAGACTTGTTAAGGAAACCGACTGTTAGCGAAACACTCAGAGAAAGATGGACATATTATACATTCTCAATTCAGGAGATTGGATCGATGGGCAGAACACTTTAGGGATCAGTTCAACTGGCCTTCAGCCACACTTCGGTTTCCCACGATCTCCAGTCAACCTGAATGGCAAGTTAATGTAGGTCCTCCGTCCCTTTACGAAGTTGAAAAAGCCATAGGAAATCTGAAACGAGGGAGAGCAGCAGGCCCTGACAGGTTTACTCCTGTGATTTTTAAGGATGGTGGTCCAGTATTAGCAATGAGATTAACCGAGGTCTTAGGTAGAATTTGGGAACTGGACGTAATCCCATCTGACTGGTCTCAATCACTGATTGTGCCAGTCTATAAGAAAGGACAAAAGTCCTCTTGTGACAATCACAGAGGAATCAGTTTGACTAATATAGTGTCTAAAATATTAGCTTCAATAATACTTCGACGCCTAACTAAAGCTCGTGAAGAGCAGACTAGAGAAAACCAGGCTGGTTTTCGACCTGGACGTGGTTGTATAGATCAGATATTCACACTACGTCAGGTTCTAGAACATAAACACACATTCAGACGCCCCACAATGGTAGTATTTCTCGATCTTAAGGCAGCATTCGACTCTATTGATCGTGAGGTTCTATGGCAGTGTTTGTCGCTGAAAGGAGTACCAGAGAAGTACATTAACCTTATAAAGGCTCTCTACTCGAACACAACTGGTAGAGTGAGAGCTTATGGCGAACTGTCATCAGAATTGATTACCTCAAGTGGTGTTCGTCAGGACTGTTCACTCTCTCCGTTCTTGTTCAACTTTGTCATTGACGTACTTTTAGAGATAACACTCTCCTCATCTAAATTTCCAGGGGTTGAACTTCTACCGGGAGGTTCACTTGTTGACTTAGAATATGCAGATGACATAGTTTTATTTGGTGAAGACGCTGACAAAATGCAGAGTCTTCTGACCACTCTAAGCAACAATGCAAGCATGTTCGGGATGCGATTCTCCCCCTCGAAATGCAAAATGTTACTTCAGGATTGGGTTGCATTGACACCCGAACTAATGATAGGGAGTGAAGTAATTGAGCGTGTCGATCGCTTCACTTATCTTGGAAGTCTCATCAGCCCTTGTGGTCTGGTGTGTGACGAAATGTCAGCACGGATGCAAAAGGCTCGACTGGCTTTTGCCAACTTGCGTCATTTATGGCGTAGGCGATATATCCGTCTATCAATCAAAGGACGGGTTTACTGCGCAGCAGTTCGTTCCGTCCTACTTTATGGCAGTGAAACATGGCCGGTAAGAGTAGAGGATATTCGTAGGTTACTAGTATTTGATCATAGGTGTCTTAGAAATATTGCTCGTATATCGTGGGACCATCGAGTAAGTAACGCAGTTGTTAGGAAACGGGTACTAGGTAAGGATGGCAAATCAATTGATGAAGTAGTGAAACTTGATCAGTTGAGATGGCTGGGACATGTGTTACGTATGCCCAACGACCGACTGCCTCGACGTGCGATGTTCAGTGGTATAGGAGTAGGTTGGAAGGAAGCTAGAGGCGGCCAGACCAAAACATGGCACAAGTCCATGAAGTCACTGACAAGTGGACTGAGTCATGTCGGTAGGTGTAGACTACCTGGTTGGGGACCGCGAGATGATAGCAACCAATGGTTAGAGACCCTGAATGACATGGCTCAAAATGGTTTGCAATAGCGCCGGTGCATCCACTCTCTGTGTTCTCCCAAATTCTAATCTTCTGAATTCTTCATGTCCCTTTTTTTCTCTTTCCAAATTTATTTCACTGTATTATACTCTTTAAGTAACATCTCCAAACCCTAATCTTCCCGATTACTGCTTATACTCTTATTACCTCTATCACTACGGGATTTGAATCGACCACTGCATTTCTGTGCTAATGTGGTGTGGCAACTCGAACTGATGTACGTACGTACGAAGTTCTACGTTGTTACTGACTGACTGACAGGATCAAGCTCACGATTTTGTATTCAGCAGGCACTCCTTTTCCAATCAACCAGTGGGTGGGTGATATGATATCCAATAATTTGACCTAACAGTGGGGTCTTAATTGATCGGCGATTGAGTGACTGACCGACTAACTTCCCAACGCCTGTGACTCTTCCCATGCTTATTTTGTATTCAGATTGTGTACACAAGCATGTTACTTTGTTACAAAACGAATATTCTTTTGGCTAGCGGTTTTACATTCGATTTCTAACTAGTTGGGGGCTCCAGTTAACCTTATTGTCTCTTGAGTAACCACAATTATTGGATTCGTTTATCAATTAAGGTTTTATTCATTGATTTTGACAATCGAAAACCCGTCTCATCAATCATTAAAATCGTCCTCCACAACAATATGTGACTAACATCACAACCAGAAGCACCACTAGCTCTCATATGACAAGTATGGCATAAGATTGTTGAATTATAAGTTGACACAAAAAAGAGGATAGTCGGTGAGTAACTGAATCATAATCAGAACCTATGGAGATCATCATAAATTCTTTTCTTACGACCTAGCTACTCTTATTGCTTAGTATTCTTGAACATTACTTCACTCGACAGGTCCTCAAATCAGAATACGGTTGAACAGGAACATACTTATATACGGAATTAGGAATTACAATAAAAAAGTTAGTATATTTATAGTTTTTACATAAGAAGATTCTAGAGACTTCTCCGAGTCTCTGCTAGCACTGATTGTTAAAAAATAGCCAGTCAGAGTGCCCCAACATAATCCTACACGAAACATGCTTTAATCCAATCTAAATCCCGCTACAGAGATCGACCTTTATTTTGGCATGAATAGTTAGTTAACGATAACAAAGTTTTGTTTATATTACCTACAAACATATCTCATTCTTATTTACATTAATGTTTCTAGGTCTGTGTGGCATCGTGTCCGAAATATTACTGGTCTTGGAAAGGTCCCTTTGATCAAGAACTTCAGTATGTTAGGAGTTTAATGATATGTCTAGGGGGTGTAGATGCGAATGATCCTAAATTTGCCAACCAGGTAAGTTATTCCATTCTTTCTTACTTTGACTGATAAATATTCTGTATTAAACAAGGATTTCAGCGAACAAATTTGTTTTATCAAGTCTACTTTCAAAAGCTATATTTAAGTCTAGTTAATATATATATAGTAACGAATTTTAATCATAATTTCTAAGATCTTTATTCTGTTTTAATTAAAATTAAAGTTCAAAAGTTACTTAAACCGTCCACTAAGTTGATAACTGATAAACCTATAAACATCAGATGAAATAAAATAAATGACTTTATGCCATTAGAATTTCATTGGTCTATATATTCTGATCTATATCAATCGAACTAAACTATTTGAACATCGTTTGTAGCAGTCTTGATAGTTTTTGGACAGTATTTTCTTTTATCGGTCTAGAGTTTATCACTTATTACTTAAATTCTAATGCTTTCAAATATTTTAGACCACAATCAATATGATTTAAATTTGTTAGCTCGGAAATGGTGACCTGTTTAATAATTACATCTTAGAATATCCTAATCAGTACCAAAAATTAGGAATTTAACTGTGCCTTATATAAATGTGAAATTTGTAAATGTAGAATTTTCTCTACGAAGTATTATTATTATTATTATTCATATTGTTAGTCATAAAATAGGTTGATTGCAGACTTAAGCGATAATTGTGCAGTGTATCCATGTCAATTAATTCCTCACAAATATATTTGATAACGTTTTACATTGTATTGTTTTAGAGTATTGATCAATTAGTACAGGACAAACAATGTGCCCCATATGTATATCATTCTAGATCAAGTTAGTTTTAAAAATTATATCTTTATTTTATAACATGGAATTTGAAATGGTTAAACATGAGCATGATACAACCGTTTTGTTTCTGTATTATTATAATTATCTACTTTGAGTTCTGATGTTTCTTCATCTCTACCAGATGTACCATTTTCTGGTTTAATTTTTATTTACTAAATTACTTGATTGTATTCTATAACAGTGCTTGGTCGGTGCATCCCAAGTCAAGTATCTCGGTTAATGGGAAATGGAACTGGTCAAGTTCGTGATGAAACTGGTAAACCTATACTTTTAATGAATTCCAAAAATCAAGAGGTGAATGGTATGGAAGTAGTGAAAAGTCGAAAGTAAGTAGATTTTCAATAGGTTGTTTGGGCTTTCTCAAAATCATTTTCACTTTTATCTAAGTGTAATTACGTCAAAAACTCCATTTAAACCCATCACACTATAAATGTATTTTAATTTTATGATTGGTGAACCTAAAAGGTACGATTATACGGCGCCGCAGTTTAGTATAGAATTGTATATTGATGTCTAGTGTAACTTATGTACGTTCGATTTTCTCACTATTTATATAAGGATTCAGTTTTCAGTAAATTAAAAATTAATGTTTTTTTGTTTTGTTTAAACATGACATTCATCATATCTTCATTATTTTAGACACTAAACTTATCAAGTAAACGCTGTACGGGATACAAACTGTCTGCACTCTAATCACCATTGTAGTCTCTTTATAATTGTTATATGGAAATATCTGAAGCGATTTCACACTTGTCATATCTGTCAATGTGAATTTGAACTTATCATCTGACAACAAGTTCATTTGACTGTTTTCGAAAAAATCTTTTGTCCTGCTGAAGTATTTATTGTAGATGCAGATTTTAACATCGCTTATTTTAGTGGCTCTTATTGTAGTCTCGTCAAAAATAGTAATGATGTCCATGATAAACGAGAATCTCAGACTTTGTGGGTTGTAAGCGGTATGGTGTACAACCGCATGTTGTGCCAATCCTAAAACGTGGATAACCGAGAAGCGGTAACACTAATCGTTCAAATTAATGTATCATGATGTTTATGTCTTTTATAGCATATATCTGTTGCTACCATCTACATGCGTTGTATTGTGTTGTACATTTAGCGTGTCACAATATCTCTTCTTTCCTTATGGTGAGGGTTTGTGAGTTACTTATATAAGTTATTGATTGTTAACAACTTTGTCACAGGTTTGAAATCAATTCCACTTGGTGAAATTTCTAAAGTTGAGTGTCATAGTGTTTAAATTGAGTTGTGAAATGAATGAACATGCCATTCATTTGTAGTTTGTAAATATTGTAACTTACTAGTTACGACTTTTATATACGCTATCTATGAGTAGCTGCAAATGCTATACTAGTAATATTAGATTGAATTTCTTGTTAACTGAAACGTACTTTAAAATTCATTCTCATCGATTGTTGTTTTCTAGAGAATATTTTTCTTAAAAATATTCACCTTTAAGCTTTATGATAGTACTGAGTAAATCCAACTAAGAAATAACTTTGCATCATGACCCTGCATTAATGTGTGTAGTTTTGATAATAAAATGTGCTCTGATTTAGACATAATAAGTTATTACTACTTCAGATTAAAAGTTACCTTGAAAACGAAGAAAATTACTCACGAAAGTAATTTACAATATAAAATACCTCGTCTCTTTAATGATAGAAAAACGTTAAATTATTTACTATTAACTATCGTTACTATTCCCACTTTCCTTGATTCTTGAATATTTCTTTTTCTGTGCTCTTTAAGAGTGTGACAACGTAACCCAATATCATTTTATGCAGTATTTTGTATTGTTCATTCCATTTTGTTCGACGATTTGCTATGTAGTACTGCTAACAATGTGTAATCTGTCGTATATTTGTCAAGTCTTTCCTTATGTGATCCAGCTACTCTTTTTGCTTAGTGTTTTTTCGGACACTTCCTCACTCGACTTGTTCCCAAAATTAGAACAAGGTTTGGGCAGGTACGTAATTATTTTTCAAATGAACCAAGTCGAATGGAAGTGAATCACAGTAAGAAAAACGTTACTACTTATATAATGTTACACGAGGAGATCCTAGAGTCTTCTCCAATTTTCTTTAGCTCCGATTTGGTAGAAGTAGGCCACTCTGTGTGCTCCTGGACAGAACATGTTTTAATCCATTCTATGTTCCGTTAACAATACTTGGTTGAATTAAGAGAATATATATAGCTGTCGAGATGACAAATTTTGTGGTATTTATCCAGAAACCAATATAAGTGTGTTTTATTTTCTGTCTAGTTATGTATGTCACATATTCAAACTAATTACCCTAAAGGTTCATATTATCTAATTTAGTCCGGTTCTATATATCCATGAATATTTGGGAAAGTAAGAATACTCTTAATCATTTTGACATTTAGTTTGTTTGTTCTTTGGTTTATTTCTCCAGAAAGCTTTGTTCCTTTGGTGTTTCTGCTGCTTTGTGTTTTCCCAAGCTGTTATTCGGTGATTATGTAAGATCTTACCCAGCTTAAGATTGTTTCTTCATGCTACAGAAAATCCCAATTTTACTAATAGCTTGCAAAATTCTCCAAATGGTCCAAGAAGTTGATTTTAAAACTGTAAATTTCTCTTTGAACTCGTTTGCCACTATTTGATTACATCAAATCAGTGAGTTTTAAGCACTTGCTAATTGTTTATTTTAGAGGGAAATAAAATTCAACTGATCATTATTATTAGACGATAGTTTAAAATGCGCTCGCATACACAGAAAAACAAAGTGGTTGTGGTGCGGTAAAGATGAAATCCTTGAAAGTGAGCATTTCACAATCGACATATTTACTAAATGGAGTGACGCTCGTTGATGTGGACAAGCTTAAGTAGTCGTAAAAGACTATAGACTTACTTTAGGACTGATATCTCGAAAACATTTTCCATGTATTACTTTGTACAGCGTAACAAATCGGGTTATAACATGGCTTTTCTAAACAATATGCTTCCGTAAAAGTAATACTCGATATTATTGGACCTGTCAAGCTGAAGAAAGGATTTTCTGTTCTTTATTATCATATATAAAACAAGCATAGCATAAAGTTAAATTCTCCCATTAATGTTGCTGGACGATTTTACATTCTACAATTATATGTCAAAATTAATAATCCAAAAAGTGGCTAGGTTTAAGGCAGAATCCATCGTTTAAATATAATAGCATATGAATTAAGGATTGTAAAATAAAATAAAATCGTTAGTGTTAGGATAACTAATATAAATTGTTGACTTGATTTAGTTGATACGTTAAATGAAATTGTGAGATAAATAATGATCTGAATAAATATGGTTCCGGTTTATTCTGATCATGAATCTTATTATTTTATTTAATATATAAGCTAAGTCAAGTTAATACTACTACTAGTCATGTTAAGATTTTTAAACAATATATTTTGCTTTTAACCTGACCACATTTTGGATTATTAATTTGGATCTATGATTGTAGAACCTGAAGAGAATTAGTTAAAAAGAGTATTCTTTGTTCATATATTAATGCTTTAATATCTAGGGTCGATAATAAAATATGTACTAATTAAGTAATAATCAGTAAATTATTACTACATTAGGCTAAAGGTTACCGTTAAAAATACAAAAAAAAACTTTTAAAAGTAATTTACAAGATGAAATATCTTATCACTCTTTACATTTGAAAAATAAAAAAAACTTGGAAATGTGCAAAGTTTTTGGACTTCACCTTTCTGTTTTATTACTTATTCTTATCAAATGAGTTGAATAACTGTGGTCACTATACATTTCATCCACGGATTATGAGTACAAGTTTCTTTCCTTCAATTCCATATCTAGTATTTTTTTAAAAACTCGCTGAGTCTTCATTCTTCGGTGGTAAATAAATTTTTCGTTTACAGTTACAACGTTTGATCTACTAAAGTTTGAATAAAATCACATTACTGCACTGCAAATTGCTATCCTTTAATTTCTTAATAACCACTACAACGAAAGCTAATAATCCAATATTTATAATTGTAAATTTATAGCGAAATGACCACTAAAATTTATTCATCCTTATATTGGTTTGGAGATTACCCTCGACAGTTTTGATCTTTCTCACATAACTTGTCACTCGAACTACTAAGTCTGTTTCTCTATTTATCTTATTTCTAATAATATCTAAGAATCAAGACAACAAACTGCTATATTCTGTCACTATTAGTATTCACAACTAAAAGTGTCAACTTCGTGTATTCCCCATCTGCATTATCTTTTTCAAATAGCATACTAACATTGGTGATGCATGATATACTTTTCAGAGTCAATTGTTATACTTACATTTTAGAAATATTTATGTTGTGCTATCTAACTTCGTATGATTATTAATGTGCTCACATATTCGTTAATTATCGTAATGCGAAATGGATTGCATACGGAGTTCTTTTGAAAAGAAAATGTGAATTATAATTGAATTTAATCGGTTAGGAACGTTCGGATTCAATATATATTGTGTTTGTATGTAATCACGAAACCCGTGATAGAAGATTATGCACGCAGTCTCACATTAAAGAGAGTATTTCCACTACAACTTTAAGCACATATCCTTTGTCTGAGTGTTATATCTATAGATTTATGTTGAGTTAGTTATTGACTAAATCCTGTTTTTTTATTGTTCGGCTGTATTCCCAATATTTCTTGTTTATTTTCAGATTGGTGTTGGAATTTACTACATTCTTTGAAAAAGTTGTTGCTGATCTAAGCCAAACCTGGCATGTTATATTAGTGTAAGTATCACTGTTTTGATTTAATTTCTAGTTTTTTTGGGTAGGTTTTCTTATGATTTATCTGGTAATTTAGGAATCCGGATACTTTCAGGCTTTTCTTTATGTTAACTAGATCTTTATTGACTGTTCCGTAGTATTGGAAAGTATCCCAAAACCTCTTATTACATGTATCACATACATAGGCACCTATTCAGGATCATTTTGATGACTAAGGAGAAGTCCAAGAACAGTTAGATTGGATCCTAGGATCAGTCATTGACGTCATTTATTTTTTGAGCTTACCTTGTCAGAAAATACAGTCTTTTTGTGGTAATTTACAAACTTTCTCCAATTTAGGCAGTGGTGTAATATCGGTTGTAGTAGCCTATATGGATCCCTTCATTTTCTTCAAAATCTTGAATGTGGTATTTTTCCCTTCGATTTCGATTGCTTTTTAACTGTTTCTTTATATTGTTCATTCAGTATAAGTAAATCTATTCTTGTTGATTCCTCGTTGTTGTGTTGACTGGAAATTTGGCAAGTTAGTCTGGGAAACACCTGTGTTTGGTCTCACCTATTTTTGTTCCCGTCAATTTGTTTACAGATTTTTTGTTATTGATTTTCCGAGTTTGTGGGCCTATTCATCACTTTCTGTCCAGAAATTATTATGACTCGTTTGATTGCAGTCTTATGAATTAGGTATCATTGTTCTACTTTGTTTATTGAGATACTGTTCTCATAATAATGCAGTAGAAATGAAAGGATATTTTCCTTGTACAAAATTAAGATGGAGTAATTTAATATGTAAGGGTTCATACGAGTATATGAGTCGCTATCTGGACTCATTAGCTATGTGGATAACGCGATGGCGTTTGAAGCAAAAAGTGCTCTGTTTGATTCCCCAAAGTGAACATCAACTCCGGGATGCAGGTACATTCAGCTGAGCTTCAAATAAGATTATAAGATAAGATAGTAAGTTGTTTTCTAAACATGAGGCCAAACTCATGTTAGAGTCTACTGTAGTCAAATAAATATCTATTCACTCATGGTAATTAATATATCAAATTACTTGAATTTCTAACGTGCAGTTTAAATTTAAAGACGATTTCTACAGACAAATGATGTTACAATGAGATCTTCGTTGGGTCTTTGAACAGAATTTTGTAGTCAACCAGGAGAACAATAATCTTAGAGACATAATCAGTAAATTTTATTTTTCTGAGGGATATGCGGATGATATCTTTATCATCTGTAACGGTATCAGTGATCTTAAATAAATGTTACAAGAGTTCAACAATTGCCACTATTCGATCACGTTCATAATAAAATCGGAGTTGAGGTTAGAAATTCATTTTTTTGATATTTTATTGAAACGAAGACCATAAGGGCCCGTACGACGATCGATATACAGAAAGCCAACCTGGTACAGGAATTATATGAACTTCCAGGGTTGGGTGCCGTTGAGTAGGAAGGGAAATTTAATCCATTCTCTATCCTCAAGAGTATGCACAGATTCTGACAAACACTTCTGGAGAGTGGTTTTCTGCTCAGGCTCATTATTTAATTGATTATTTATTTTAACACATAGATATTGGTACAAGGAGGCACCAAATACATATGCGCCACACAAATCTCATTTGATATGTGTGAGGGCTGTGATACTGCCCGGGTGCCCAAACCGAAGCAGGCTCATTAATAGTAGCCTGAAACCAAAACGTCAAATTGAAAGTACTCTCACTGTATCGGGGAAAATTTTATTGATGAACATTTAACTCGGGGGAGGTACGACTGCGGAGATACTTTAGAACAGAATGTTTAGATCCCCGAGAAAAATATCTGATTTATCGGACCTCCGAATTCTTTTTCCTAGTAAAAAACTAATTCAGGGAAGTGTCAAGGGTAAACTGCCGTTTTGAGCCACCTCAGTGGGCACCCGGCCAGTACCACAGCCCTTACACAAATCAATGATCATATACCACCAAGATCATCTACAAAGTTATAAGAACTGGCCTAGAGAAGCTTTTGATGAGCAATTTGTAGAAAGCTAAAGCTATATCAATCTATAATTTCAAGCCCGACTTCTCTGTACAAAGGAACTAGACTCGACCCTTTATTCTTCCATGGTCTTAATGCCCCTCCTAATCTTACAAACTATAAGTGGTCATTATTATCTTAGTCTTCACCTTCTTCTTTGTAAAGTCGACAGTTGGTTTCAGCATTTATTATTTAGATTATTAATTCTTATTACTTCCAAACTATTACGCAACCTTATTTCTTGATAATTTTGAATACTTTTCTAAATGATACAACATCCATTTTATTCAGTACCTGGACAACTTTCAATGACTTTAATTACTGTGAAATAACATTCATTTATAGATTCATTTTATTTAATACTTGATATCTTTTGACAATTTTTGATTACTTTATTATTATACTACTACTACTACTACCAAACACCACTTCATCTTCATAGACTTTTACATCCGATACTTGAATGCGTTTAACTATCGTTGATAAGTTTTTAACACTCCTCTATTTTACAGTAGACTACTTAATATAAAAATAACTTACACAAACGATTGTACGGCTTACGAAAACTGTAGTGAACAAGAACACGGGTGGGGACAATCGATTGTATTTAGCACAAAAATTACAGACTATCTCAATAAATGTGAATACCATAAAGTCAATCGTCAATTTGCAAAATATCATTCCATCATATCAAACTGTACTGTTCCCGTTGCAAACACTAATCCATTGTCTCCCATTCCATTGTACATGCGTTTTCTTACAATTCCATTCTGTTCTTGCTCTTTCTTTCTTGATCTTCGCCATCTTCTGCTGCCGGACATTACGTTCTTTTAACGCACGTTATATACTACTTATATAAGTAGCTCACACCACAAAACGATATCGGCACAAAGAAAATTTTCTTCACTGAAATATCTCCAAAAGTCATTTACTTTTTTAAATGATATTCGATAACTATTTACATTTGTCCTTAGTGTAATTATATTGTGAAATTATTATTATGAAACTGTGATGCACTTTGTGTGTTTGTATGTATGAATTGGTTTTTCTGGCATACGCACTTTGTTTTAAAAGAAAAATAAACAACTGATATAGTACACTCAGCAAATACTTTTGTATCATAATTTATGCATATAAAGTCTTCGTTTTTTTAAAAAGTTTCTTATGACCGATCATCTTCAGTGATATAGTTAATGTTTAGTGATGAAACGTGCCATATAATTAGTGAAACAAAATATGATAATCCATGCATACGTTGAATATATTTGTATATTTCATTAACCCAACGTTAAACATGATCATATTAGAATATTCATTAGCTGCGAATTTTTCCTGGACCGTCCGTTTTCTTGTAAATTTCCGTCACATCTTTCTTACTTAAAACACTAGAGTTTTTAATGTTTAGCTTTACGACCTTTTATTGACCCTATTATGATGCTTTAAATCTCACTAATGAGTGGTTTTAAGATTCTGCCCCATCAGGAAACGAGTTTCTTCTACCTTTGGCATTAAGCTAAGTTTATAATTAATTACTTTGTAGTGACCGGAATCATAGGTGTCCAGTTCTTTGGTGCTGATCGTATTCTTCCGATCAAGTTGAAGTGGCCACTTCTTTGAGTGAATCGACATTGTGCACAGTGGCAGGATGTTAGGTGGTTAGTGGTTGTTGGCATGAGACTCTGAATATAAGTTTCATGCCAGTTACCACTCGTCATCAAGGTCCATCTACAATCTTGAAGGATTTAATGCTTCTTGTAGGATATGAACCTACGTACATGAACACGCATGACATTCGTCACTACCTAGTGATCAGTCAGTTATAAATATTTTTGTCCTATCAGATATTGGATAGCTAAATACTTGTGTCCGTGATCCGAGTTCAAATCCCACAAGTAGCATCTATTCTCTGAATATTACAGGTGCTCCTTGGCACGAAACCTCGATCTAAAGTTTTTTACCAACCACCTTCAGCCTATTAATAAAACTAAGTATTTGAGATAAGTAAAAACTTTTGTTACTTCCTTAAAATCCTTCTCAAGGCTTGTTTTTCTTCATAGAATACCTGAGCTTACTTTGTATTGTTTCCTGTTTAATACCATTTTACTCAATCAAATCCGCCAATTAAATTCTGTGCAAACGTAGTTCTTAAGTACAGTTCTCGTAAGCCAAAAAATCTTATAATTCGTTTATGTAACTGACTATAGATTAATTATGTTAGGCACATTGAGTTTGAGAGTAACAGTTTATAACAATAGAATAATATGAATTATTAAATGGCTTTTCTAGTTACGATGTTAAACACAGTTTCCGATGTGTTTTTTTGAAAAAAATTATTAACGTGTTATTATTTATTTTGTTAGTGTGTTTTTGATGATTTTTCTTGTTTTTCTGGTAATTTAAGATTCCGTTGCATAAACATTTCTCACATATTAAATAAACTTTATTTATCATGTTTATGATTTTATTTCCAGATGTATTTCAGTATCTGTGGTGTTATCATTCTGTTGGATCGTTTTATTACGATGTTGTGCATCAGTTATGGTCTGGACTACATTAATTCTATTTGTCGCCCTGTTTTCTTTCGGTAATTATTGTCTTCAACTTAAATAAGTAATTTTTGTCATACTCTTTTGTCTAATTATTGTTATTCATAACAAAGAGACAGTATTTTCATGTTTGTTCTTTTTAACTTAGAAAAAAATTATCTATGTTAAAAATTAATTAGTCCGTTCTTAATAGCGATTGTTTAGTTAAATAATGATCATTATGTGATCAGTTAAAAGATTTTGTGTGTATGTAAACAACTGAAGGCTGTACATTCTGTTTTGTTTTTGTCAAATTTGTGGATTCAAAATGTTATCACTTGGAAATTCCCATATTATTTCGTATTTATCAAAGCCTGTATGCCATGTGTTTATTCCTAAACATCATCTTCATTTCTTATCGGTTAGTTAATTATCACGATAGTAATTTTGACGTATGATCGCCGTTTTCATTCGATTTATACATTATACATATATAGCATGAAATTAGATCGATGTACGTGTGTACAATCAATTTTGTTTCCATTGATTTCACAATACCTCATAGTATTATTACTGGTAAATAAATAATTCGTGATATCGATTTCATACTTTGCATACCCACCCTAATAATAATAATAATTATTATTATTATTTGCTTATGCACAGTATTTATTTAGTTCCGAAATGGACTCATGATTCTGTCGGTGAAATGATAATGGCATATTATCGTTTATTTTATGTCTATATTCTTGGCATTCAAATAGTTTTAATTTTTGTTGTTGTAGAATTATATCTATATCAAGTTATTCATTAATAAATAAATAGTTTAACTATTGTATAACATAAATATTTAATAATTTCAATTATCATTTTTCATAAAGATATTATTATAATAAATTACTGATCAATTTCAATATATTCTTTAATCCAGTGTTTACATTTTAGTCGATATGTTCAAAAAGAAAGAAACAGATTTTTGTAATTAGCATTACAAGATTCTTTTCTAGATATTATTGGTCTCCTTTGTATATAGAACAACACATATAAGTGAACAATTGTTTTCAATTAGATCATCATTAGGCTTTACTCTAATATACGAAAATGTTAAACCAATCAAGGCAATATGGGTCAATAATCAAAGTGAAATAGAAGTCACTACACATAAGAAGTAAAAATATAAGTTGATAGTAGGAAGACAGGTATACTGATAGTGCTAAGAATAATAAAACACAATAACAAAAGTCTTATCATTAGTTAAACGTTGGAAATAGAAGGTCAAACGTGGGTAAATAGACTTGGAATAGTCATCATAAAGCATTAAAATCATTACGTAATATTAAGTGTGTAAATAATTAGATAGTGAAGAATGCAAACGGCAAGAGGTGAAAATTAGAAACAAATACTAGATGTGAAAATAAGGCTAATGGTAACAAAAATAGAATAAAATAAATAAATAGTAATAATAATTTTTAAAAAAAATCGTTAGTTAAGTTATAACTGGCCATGGAAGGGATAGGGGGGTTACGAATTTCGTCTGTACACATAAATTGGGGTTATATGTACGAGTTCCTATGACTTCAGCTATATGTGTATAAACAAAATTACCCATTCATATAACTTATTATTGAAAGCATTTAACTTGTAAATATTAAGATGTAGCTATTCACATTATTTTACTAACTTTTTCAAATAATTCAAAGTTGACTACACAAAATATTCATTTAGTTTCATCTTAAATTGTACTTTTAGTGGATCATTTTTTGTTCTCTTTCATTATATCGTTGCAATCATGGAGTTTCTCAAACTATCATTGAAAAGTTATCATTTTTTAGTTTTAATCATTGATTTTTTTTACTTTTAGGCACTGGGTTTTGTTTTTACAGATGGAGTGTATTACGTAAAACAACTGAGGGTTCTAATGACCTTGAATTCTCTTTGGATATTGCTTCGTATTTCCGTTTAGCATCGACATGGCTTGCATTAGGTTAGTTATATATTTTATAAAATGTTTATTATTTTTGTTTTCTTAAGTCCGTCAGGGACTTTAACCACCGTTTGCAAGGCATCTTGAAAATTTGGTCAATACTCATTAGTCACTAACATCTAACTAATCGAATTACCTTTAAGGATGGTTCGATTTGATGTAAATTATAGGTTGAATCAGTTAGTCCGCTTAATTTCAATGAGATGTTTTCAGGTGCGTTGTTGTTGGTATGCTTCAAACGTTTTCATATTCTTTGACTAATAAGTAATACCTTTTTTCACTTGTAGGAATTATTTTTGCTATTCTACTGGTGATCATACTTCTAATATTAATATTTTTACGCAAGCGTATTCATGTGGCTATCGCAATATTAAACGAAACAAGCAAGTATGTTTACTTGTGCTAAAGTTTCTGTTATCTACTTCCACTGACAGATATAATTTCACATTTTCCCCTTTTAGTTTAAAAAGATATAGAATTATGATAAATAATAAAATGAATATGATCTATGATTTTTCCGACATATTTCTTTCAGAGCAGTTTCAACTATGACATCTGTATTGTTTTGGCCAATACTACCGTTCATTCTTGAATTGATTGTTATTGCTCAAGTTTTATTTGTGGCTATTTCATTGCGAACAATATCTGATCCTGTTGGGACTAAAATTATGAATGATGATCCTACCGTAACTCCGGGATTTGCAGATAAGGCTAGAAATGATATAAGAGAAATTTTTCAACTTATCCCGTGTGATCCTTTAGTAAGATTAATTATATATGCAATGTGATACATGCTTTCTTTTGTTTCATTCATAGATTCTTCAAAATGATTTCTACTAGTGTGTCACAGTATGAGATTTAAGTTTATTAGGATAAAATTTTTGTGCGCTTTATTTTATTTATCACAACCTAATATTATTGAAATAGATTATCGTTCCCTTCATTGTTTTATACGTCTTAGTAATTCAGTAGTTGATCCTGTTTGATTGAGTTTATGTTAATTTTGTGCGACTGACCGTCGGTGTTTGATAAATCTTGGCACTCATCAAATAATGAAAATGGTACACCGAAAGCCCGCACATGAATCAAATGTCCTGTGTGCCTGTTGAATGTCATTTCGTTGTTTATCTATCCCATAGTCCAGTACTTGTTATCCGCAGTAGACTTTATTAATCTTTTGCCGTGATCTGAGACTTAAGATATCACAATTCAATGAGAAGATAAGTACAATACTGGTAATCAAGCGGCTTAAGATAAGAATTATGAATGTGCTTTAGAGTATTTGTTCAACTTGAAACACTTCACTACAACATTTATTATTAATAAATTAATAGTTATTAAAAATTTATTTGTATTCTTTACCATAATATGTCAATGAAAAACATTACTTTTTTTCTGTTTTTCGACCAATTCGTCTTATTGTAGCAAAACAATTCAGCTGGCAAAGCTTGTCGTTTTCTGTATTATGGAGACCGGAAGTAAGTTACTGTATGATAATCTAAGTTAGCGATACAGTACTATTCATCGTAAACTCAGATATTCACTCACTGTCTTGTGTACGACGAGTCACCATGCTATTGCTTCACGTTTTGCTCTCGTTACCATTGTCAATCACTCACAGGGTGTCTATTATTTTCATTACTGATAAACATTTAATTGAAATTTCATCAATCGAAATTTTAAAACACAATTAACTTGTAATACTTCTCGTGGTTCATTTCGTGATGTTTTATGTTTTGCAATATATTGAAATATTCAAAGAATTAATGATTCGACCTTGATATCTCGGTTAGTTAACTTTATATTTAGACTATTGAGACTATACAATTATGCCAAGGGATTTCTATCAAGCAATAAATTTGTCTAATCAACGAAACTCCTGTTTGTATGATCGTCATAAAATTCATTGTCTTTAAATGAAACATAGTTTATTTATTTATTTAAACACATAATCATTGGAAAAAGCAGGCTACTCCCCAAGCTTTTGACCTACAGGTCCAGTCCACAAGGTAGTGGAGCAACGTAAGGAGATGCACTCCCATGGTAGCCGGTGACCAACAATTGGTTCAGACACCATTTACTCCTTCAGGATCCTAGAGCCCATGTACACCATGGTTTGAATCAGGTTTCCCTAATTCTCCTAGGTGGACCATCAGTTTCCACCAACCCAGTTTAAGCGTCGAACGTCCCTGTCGATAGCTGTATACGCGTGGCCATGTGAGATCATTTCGAAGGGGAAAGCGGATTCTCTCCACCCTCATAGTATATTAATACAAACTGATATATATAGTCTTTGATATTAAACTTTTTCAATGCTCCTTTAATTTATTTGGATAATAAATAGTTAGTGTTAAAATCACAACTACAGTTATTAAATTAAATTCTACTTCACACAATCATATATATATTTATACTTTTTTGCTGTTCTTTTTTCTATTTTAGATATACTATCTACCTACAATTTTTCAATTTGTTCATGTTTTTTTGGTTAATCAATTTTGTCAAATCGTTAACACAAATGACTTTAGCAGGAACATTTGCTGAATACTACTTTTCGTCTCATAATCAAAAATCTTCATCAAAATGTCCATTAATAACAAGTCTATTTCGATCAACCTTTTATCATACTGGTTCATTAGCATTTGGATCGTTTCTAATTGCTTTATTACAATGGCTACGTGTTACACTTGAATATATCAATGCAAAATTGAAGAAAGCTAATAATCCTGTTACAAATTTTCTCTTGAAATGTTTAAGTTGTTGTTTTTGGCTACTTGAGAAATTTCTAAGATTTCTTAATAGAAATGCTTTTATTATGGTAAGTTTCTATTTTCTAGTAATACACTAAGTGTTTTTGAAATGTAGTTCAATAAGTTTCAATTATATTACGTCCGTACTTATTCATGATTTTAAATCATGAACACATTAATATACATTCTCTTTTCTAATGTTCACATAATTAATGATCCTTTTGTCTTTCTTCCTGTTCATTCGCTGTCAACTATGTCGATTTTAACTTGTGAAAACGTTTATGCGTTATTTACAATCTATTTATTATTTATTCGAAGTGATTTTTTTTCAAACATATACATAGTTTACAATTTAGTGTGTAAATGCAATTTGCAAAATCTACATTCGGTCAGTAGTTTAAATGTTAAACATGAACCATAGGGCTAAATTTTAGAAGATAACGTTGTGATGACCATAGTTTACGAGTGTGATACAATACTAAAAGTTGCTTGTGAAAGCGGTTGCAAAATAAATTCACTTAGGTAACTCGACTTCATATATGTTTTTCTATACCCTCGTTCTACCTGTTCATATTAAGAACTATATTATCATGTTTTGTTTTTATCGACCTATTTGATTATAGCACAAATATGTATATACATGGATAGGTTGTCAAACATTTCGAAAATACATTGATCTTAGCTTCTTAATCGACTTTGTATCTAAAACATATGGGTTAGTTTATTTATTTCAACACATAAACAATGGAACAAGGAGGCACCAAACACATATGCGCCACATAAATCATTCGATTTATGTGAGAGCTGGGATACTGCTTGGGTGCCCGAATTGAAGCAAGTGGTTTTCTTCGGGGGCCACACTGCGAGTCTTTGACCTAAGGGTTTAATCCACAAGACAGTGGGGCAGCGTAAGGAGATGCAGTCACATGGTAGCCGGTGACCAACAATTGGTTCATACTCCATTTGTTTCTTTAGGACTCTGGAGCCCATGTGCACCATTAGTTTGAATCAGGGTTTCCCAACTCCCCTAGGTGGATCCACAGTATCCACTAACCCAGTTCAAGCTCCGGAAATTCGTTTTTCGTCCTCTCAACTTCTCAAACAACACCTCTGCTGCGAGAAGATAGTAAGTCGGACTACCCTGATGATGGCTATATACACGTGGCCAAATGAGAGCATTTCGAAGAGAACTGACTTCCCCCAATCTCGGCCGTACCAGGGTTAGTTTTACTGCAGAATCCTTCGTATGATTGTCTAATTATGTTTTGTAAAAAATGGGAGAAGTTAACTGTAGTATATTCAGTAAACTAGCGATGCCGAAATTCATTGACCGGTATTGGATATTAACAGTTGTGATCATTCATTTTTAACATAAATAAAGGTTATTGGATTGTCAATTGGAATATAGGTTTTCTGTGTTTTGTTTACATGTTGTGCATATTGTTTATCAGTGTAATCACAGAAAAATCGTTTCCAGCTAGGAAATTCTCCATTTTATCTGTTCATAACATTTTCTTGATTTATAAGTTCATCCTTACATTGATGATTACTGTGGCCTGTAAAATCTATAGTTAGTTTATGGTTTGTGTGTATTTTCTTTCATGTATGTACACGTTAGAATACCTTTTTCTAGCATACAATGTAAACATTCTAAATAACTTTTAATGCACTGTTCGAGTCCATTTTTAACACAATTAAATGATTCAGCTTTCTACTCATTGAGATCAAAATATTAAAACGTGACTGATGAGTGTTAGTGACGTACATTTCATGTTTTGTACTGAAACCTTAAGATAATATTATACTCAGTATTTACCGACAGTATATAGGGGTTTTTCTAGAACTATCTAATTGACGATTTAACATCCAATATTGTAGATAATTCTGTAGTTTGTCGTTTGATCAGAAATAATAGATTGTTCTATGCTTTCATCCACATACTTTGTTGAGATTGCTACTGCGTTATTATGGATGTACAACAACTGTGAATTGAATATCGATTAACTGAACGTTCATTCTTATTTGGTTTACTAGAATCTAGAAAAGCTTTCAGATTTGATTTCGAGGATGAATTTTTCCTTAACGTCACAATCAATAGGTGTTATTGAAAATCGGTTTATAATAAGTTTTTTTTTGTATTTTCAAGTTTCTTTAATTGTCCCTAAACAGATACTTTGCATACATATGAACTGTAAAACAGGTATTATTATTATCGGTATGCTTCACTGTAAAATATACAAAAGTAAACTTTCGAAGTGAAAATAATATTTATCTTAGTACATTTTTTTCTTTATTTTTAAAAATCCCATTTAGATTGCTATCTATGGTCAAAGTTTTTGTTCAGCCTCTCGTTCAGCATTGTCTTTACTTGCGCGCAATGTAGTCAGGTACATGTATATGAACATAGTATATAAATTTTTTATTTATCCACATGTTTTGCTATTTAAACCTGTTCAATATAGTTTTATTTTCTTATTCTAAAGAAACCATTTTTTGTTCAATGAATCTTTACTATTTCATTGTTCTGTTGTTTGTTTATATTTAGTGTCAATCACATTTATTTATTTATTTCATTTTGTAAATTATCTTTTAAAGTCATCTCTTGTAAACTGTAGAATAATGTTAGAGATTGTAAATGTTTCCTGCTTTTTAAATAATATTTTTTCCCGAAATCTGTATTTACGATGTGTTTTTTCAAGTTCACTGTTTTACTATCAACTACGTAGGATAGGAGCTATGAAATATTTATCAATGTAACTTATGTATCATAACTATAGTTATATGTTCATACGAATATTCGTCAAGATTAGAACGAATAGTTTGACAGTAATTGAGCGCCGAGTATAGAGAAGTTATTATATGTGAAAATTATATTTGAAATGTATTTGAAAAAGTCGAGAAATATGTACAAATTGTCACAGATCACTTTAAACTTCAGTTATTTTGAGTAGCTTGAACATCTAAACTATCTGTTCGTGACATGTAGATATTTCAACAAGTTATGTAATTTTGTTTGTTTTAATACGTTATTATGGTTATTAATCGCCTAACCTATTCAGGTGAGTTTCTGAAAGGTGTATAATCTTTCGTCGTACAAGTTAGAAAAGACTCAATCAGAAATATCGTGGTTGTTGGCAATATGCAGCGAAAAGAATGTACATTATTTAGATGTCGATTTACTAAACTGCTAACTTCTAACTGGCGATCACTCAATATTTATCGTTAGGTTGGACCAAGAAGTATGAGACGGAAACTTGTTGAAATACTTTGTGCTGACAATTCTATGTTGTATTAAAAATATGATATTGAATAATGCTTATAATAATAATCTGGCTGCTCATATTGGAATAACTAGTGTATGCTTTATTACTAAACACCTTTGTATTAATCGATCACTTGTCTCAATAAATACAAATTAATTTCTAAGTGAAAATAATCAATTATTATGTTTCATGTTTGAAACCCATTCAATCCTCAATTTGGTTAGTGGGAAACGTGTAGTTTATTGGCTGATTTCACAAATGATTACTTGTATGATTGGAGAAAAATTAAGATAATTCAGGGAAGAAAGTTTTCTCAACTTTTGTTTTTTTGCACTGGATGTGTGCAAAACTTAGGTGACCTATTGTTTATATATATATATCTTTTCTTCTGAAAACTCATCTGCAGTATTTTCATTGGAAACGTACTGTTTATTCTGAAATTGTTTCATTTTTCTTCATTCATAGCTTTTTCTCTTTGTAACAGTTTGATAACGACTCTTATACGCAGTTTTATTATCTCTTGTTTTCCTATGCATAGACTATTTGTGGTCGATAAAGTGACTGATTTTATTTTATTTATTGGAAAACTTATTGTTGTCAGTATTGTTGGTAAGTGGACATATTTGAATTTTATGTGAACATGGCTAAATAATATTTGAGTTGGGTTATTTTTTTACTGTACTATAACATTGTACTATTGGTTCATTTTAAGGTTTAATAAGGACATTTCCTGTACAGTTTTGTATAAGTGGCATCTGTAATGACAATTTTACATAATACTAACTTTTTTGAATAAAAGTAAAAAGAATTCAGCGAAGAAAATTTCTTCACCGAAATGACAATGGGTTATTTTACCTAACTGTTTTGTTCTATCAATAGTAAATATGCGAGAATGATAAGGTATAAATCTGATTGGTATATTTCTTGAAAATGTGTTCGGGAAAAAATAACTTCTGTTTGACATATTCTAAAAAGAAAGAATTAATTGTTGTTGATATCCTTCAGAAATCAGTTATTGGTTAGTTTGGTTATGAAAGATAAATAGTATTCATAATGATCATTAATACTTGAATCCGACTTTACCGAATAACGATTTCACTGTTTAAGCTGATTATAATAAATCAACCTTGGGATCTGTTGAAACAAGTTGTTAAAAACTTAACCAATAACAATACTATACAAATTTCTATTGAAAATAATTGTTGTATTTTTATAGTTGACCTTTATTTGATTCTTCGTGGTGGCCTTGTTTGGTCACCCGAATGTTTATCATCGTTAAGCGTAAGTGATTTCTACTGTGACAATTCAAAATTTTATATAATGTCTTCTGTGTATTAGCATGCTGTCAAGTCTCATTTAAAAATTTCTATGTTACGCGTATCATGCATGGATCTCACACAGTAATTTTTTGTGTTGTATTCATTGTTAGTTTATAAAATGCTAAATTTGAGACTTCATACCATGGTTTGTATCATTGTACAGTAATGGTTACTATCAATTCACAATGTTGTCTAAACTAATTCATTTAATCCATTCATTCTCTGGTAGATATGAAGAATAATGCCATTAAGATTGTATGTAACCATTTCAACTATTAATATTTCACCTTGTGTTATTAGTTATTTTTTCCTGTTGTTTGCCATCTGAAATGGATCATAATTTTTTTGAATTCAGGTGGTATGGCTTATGTCTATTTGGAAGGTATATTGTTCAAAGGGAATGACTTTCTAAGTGATGCGTTTACTTCTAATCTTCATTATGCATTCGTGCCATTGGGTGTAAGTTACATCTTATTATTGTATTTGTTTATAGTTTCACTTTCTTATTTTTGATGTACTTTTAAATATTGCATGTTTATTTAATCTTTTAATCGGTTCAAGATTTCTTTCATTGTGACATGACGAATGTTTTCATTGTTCTTTTCTTTCATGACTTCATACATAACACTGAGTTATTTTGTACATTTGTTGTATGTTGTATTGCTTGTTCGAATTTGGGTTTAGACAATAATTTCAAAGTTGCTGTATACTTGACATTTTGGCGGAGTTATGTTCTCTGAACTAGATGGTTTGGTCGTAGAGCTTCCATCGTTCTTCTGAACAACAACACGAAATTCAGGTAGAAGTGAAGTATTCGAATTTCTCCGCGTGTGGCTCACAGCCTGTTTTATAGACGTCCATCTTGATTGGTTATTGTTGACATTCAACCTATCATTGTTTGCTCCTTTATTTTGATTATATCTCCCATTTGTTTGATTTTCGGTCCTATATTTGTCCATAATTATTATGATTGGTTAATAAATTAAATCTGTTTCAATGTGCTTGTTGATTGTAGATTAGCCTAAGTGCCAAGCTTCTAAAAATTCTCTGGTGTTTTTAGAATTACCTGTATTCAAGATCTCAATATTTTCCCAATCGAATGTATGTTCACAGTTGTTTACATGGATTGTTATAAGCAAGGATATGTCATAACGTTTGACCGCAAATCGATGTTCGTTCAGGCGAAAATGAAGAGGGCATCCTCTTTGTCTACTAAAATCATTCACCTGATCTACAAACCTCCACTTGACATTTTTTAAAGCAAAATAAGATGTATTCATACATGTTCAGTCAGTCACTCATATGGACAATTTAGAGCCTAGCATAAATGTGTATTAGCTCACGATGTCATACCACATCAATACAGCTTGAAGAAATGAACAAGATTACTAGTAAGATCGTTCATATATTAATAGCATCTGTGATAGCGAGAAAGGCTAAACATTTAAAAAATTAGTTCGGAAAGAAGAGATGAAATATTTTACCTCATTGCTTAGAGGAAGGTAACGCAGGAATAGAGCTGCGCGAGTATGAAAATACACGTCAGGTAATCATAAAATAATAAAAAAACTTAATCAGTATTTTGACTAAAAATAGGTTGTTCAGAGTGGTTTAGGGGGGATTACGAAATCCTTTCTAGCATATTCTTTAATTTATGATAAATCATTACTTTTTGTTCCAAGAAGTTATAATACATTATAGACCTAAGTTTAAGGAAATTGTTTTGTCGCGTACGTAATGTACACTATTTATCTTGATATATTATTTATTTCATTTAGTTTACTGTAAAACGTGTTCCATATTCTTTTTGTTATACATTTTTAGATTATCATACTTGCATCTTACCTTGTGGCGTCATTATTCGCAAGTGTTTTCGAAATGGGTGTCGATACAATATTTCTTTGCTTTTGTAAGTACTTAATGACATTCTTTATATTCTTAATTATTGTTTGGTTGCATCTTGTTACATGATTCCTTAATTCATTAGTGTAATTATATAGTTTGGCCTTAAAAACTAAAATAGGCGAGGATATTTCTCATTTAGTTAATTTCTGGATTTTCATCTTCGGTTGTTGAAAAAAAACGTTGACATTTGTCAATGTAAATTAGTTATTGTGTAGTCAAGTTCACTGGTTTCCTGTCTATCATCATATATTCACAACAATATCAAGTATTTAGTATCATAATAATGTCTTTCAAAATTACGTTGCAAATATTCTTATATAAGCCCCTCTAACCCAATACTTTCGTATGGTGACTCTACAACTACCGTAATAATGCGTAATATTTTCGAATAATATTTTGAATTTTTGACAATGTATGTTTTCTTAGACAAGTTGGTAAATAGTCATTGCTTAGTGAATTCCATCAAAGTAATACAATTTCACTCTAACTGGTGTGTTATTCATAAAGCTAAACCGATAACATAAAACTTCTATTTTCATTGATAAATAATCTTATCAGCAATATATTTTCCCAATATTATTTCCTTGTTTCTGTGCAGTAAAACATATGGAAAGCAATGAAAAAACTGATGAAAATCCATACTATATGAGTACTTAATATAGTTCTTTATATTTTTAACCAATTTTGGTATTATACTTAATCCCCCGATAAACTTAAACAAGGCAGGAACAATGTGATCGGCAGGATAAATTGAATTCATTGTGTTTCAGTACTTCTCATCAGTTGCGAAGAGCCCTAAACTACAGTTTTAACCTACTTTATTTCGTTTACATAAAGTAAACTAAAGTATGTTAACACTTTGTTTATTATCATATTACTACTTGTAGTATCAAACTGTTCGTAACTGACTAGAAGCCTTCAGAAAGAATAAATTCATTTTATTTTTCAGGTCTCCTTGTTATTTCTCTTTAAACATTTCAATCTGTTTAGTTGCTTTTTTGTCACACAATTTCCTAGATCACATCTCAATCATCATGTAGCCGAATGTATTGACCAGATATGTATTTCCTCTTAATTCAGGGACATAAGTGTTTCTACTGATTCTAGGGGGGATTGGATTCTTTCTGTTTAGGGATTTTCTGGTTGCTTCTGTCATTTCTAAATAAAACAAATAATCCGTCATCATGGTGGAAGCCTTCTAGTCGGATGTGCAAAGTCGAGTCTCAGTTTTTCAGAGCTATCATCTATATTGGCTGTTGGTTTTTCACTTTACGTTTTGTCTCGGTTATGGCTTTAGGGTTAATATTTTCTTCCTAACTCTCTTCCGTTAGTATGTTGTTTAGGACTTTTCTCGTTGATATGCAGTACTCAAAGCACATTATCCTGTATCTACAAGATTCAGTTAAATTGCTTTGGAAATCACTTCTCATCCTTCAGAAAGAAATGTTTTCTCAAATTAACTTGTGTCATTATCTAGTTCGATCATTAGATGCAAAGTGGTTGCATATATATTTGTCACTTCAAGAATCTTATGATTCTCATCATCTTTGATAAAATAGTTGTTGACAATAAGTTCGTTTGATATATTACAATGTGAACAGATTATTTTGAACTCAAATCTACGATTTAATTATCTAGTGGAAATATTAGAATTAAATTATAACTAATAAGTTACTCTGTTAGTTTCATCAATAAATAATCATTATTACATTTTCTTAATCTTATTTTATTTCATTATTTTTTGTTTAGTGGAAGATTTAGAAAAGAATGACGGATCTGCTGAAAGACCATATTATATGAGTAAAAATCTTATGAATATTTTAGGAAAACGAAATGCTCAATTACCACAAGTTAAACAAGCTATTTAATATTATTTTTGTTCAATGTGCCTTCATTACACGTCATATTTTCTTTTGTTTGTTTGTTTTGTTTTGTTTTTAATTTTGCACAAAATATTTGTTTAAAAAAAATTACAAATAGAAATACAATCAATCCTATTTCATTTGCATTTTCTTTTCCCGCCAAACATTATTGACTTGCTTTATCACAATCTCTTACGTAATATTCACTCACCGCTTTATTTGTTTAGGTACGATAATTTATCAGTAATAATCTTTTGTTCCCTTCTTGGTTTTTCTTCCCAGGAACTCACATTGTTATTATTATTATTATATTATTTTGCTTAAAATTTGTTATGCAAGTTTTTTTCGCGTTTTTTTAATCTAAAAATAAACGGTTATTTTACTGATCTGTTATGTTTTATAATACTGATTGATATGACTAGTTAGGGATCATTGTTATCCAAATAGTGGATGATCTTTTCAATTTTACAAAACAAAACAGTGTTGACTATTCGGAGTGTTCATATTTTTGAAAAACCTTTAATAATGTACATTCTTTTATTTCATAGAAAAAAGAAAGCGTTTATAAGATTGTGATTGTAATGTAGCATTGTATAAACTGATAATGATTGTGTCAAAGAAGTTTCTAGAATTGGGCTCACATTAATTCGTGTAATCCAGACGTAATAACTAATTTCTCATGAATGTTTGTAGACTGGGTAAATTTGATTGATATGAATTAGTCACATTTTTAATGAAATCACTTATCGGAAATAATATAGAAATATAATCATGACTTATTATTTAAAGAGAAAATTACTGTCTGCTATTTAAAAAAGAAACAGAAGTGGTATATCATTTTCGAGACTACAAATCTTTAAGTTCTCAGTCAAATTTAATACATCCATATTTTCATAATATTCGACACACTGATTATCGTGACAATCCAAAATAGTCATACAACCTTTGTGAAGACTATCTCATCATTATTATTTGATATTACTTAAACGTTATTATGATTGCATTTTAATGGAAACGTATATGAAAACTAATTAACTTACTGTAAGTACTTATATCTAAAATAAGTCAAAAAAATTATAGTATCTAGTTTTATTCTACAGTGTTGTGAGTGTATTAAATTTTTACTTTAATGAGCAGCAATTAAATTTCTATGAAAAATTAACGTTCATACACCTCAGGTTCATACTTATAATCGACAATTTTAGCTTACTTACAAGTAGTATAAAATAGGTAAAAGCATTTTATACCTAACCTTGCTATTCAACAGATCTTTGTGAAATACACAATCTTAGATAAAATAGTTAAATCCTCGTTATGACACTGTTCAATATTAAATAAGATATACTATGGAGAATTTTTTGAGGTAGGGAAAAATAGAAGAAAGCACACCATTTTCGCGATACTTCCGTGTAGTTATCTGCAGTTATGATAGACATTTATATGATAGTACCTTTTTCTGGTAGTTACTATTATCGTTATTATTTGTAATATACGGGTAGGAGTTTCTATAATTTATTTCCAAATCACTAATTACAAATACATATGTATATCTGAATGTCATATCATTCATTTTGTTGACCATTTACTTCTAGCTATCTTACGTATGTGATTTGATGATGGTTTACTTCTGATTTATGCTCGGTCAGTTTTCTTTTATTGTACCTAACTGCTTTTATCTTCTAAGTGAATGTTGTTATGATGTATTGTTATTCTTACATAAATGCTGAATGTACTGCTAATTTTTTGTAAAATTTAAACAAATTGTGTCTTAAGAATTCTCGATGATCACATAGTTATCTAAATGTTCAACTGTACTCAAGATATATGTTAGATAAACATTGTATTGGACTCATTTGTTTTATTGAATGGGTATGTTTTAATTTACTCACTTTCATGAATTGCTGACATGAATTATTTTTTCATATTGTTTTGTAATTGTTGTTTGAAGCAACTAAACTGTCTTAAATTACACACAGAAGGGTTTCGATTTCGTTGTTTACCATTTTAATAAATTATATATGCTTATCAAATATGAAGAACTGTTTAGTGTATGGGGGTAAACTGTGTTAAATACACCCCTATATAACTTAATTTTATCTGATCTTTAAATGTGTCATTCTAATCTGGTTACGTTCTTTGTATGACCTTGTATGCAAATACACTTCCCTTACGTATATTATCATGTATGTAAACTGTTCTTGTATATATCTGTTTCCTTACTTCATATATTTTGGATTATCATAAACGCTAGAAGTGCCTTTACGGTCTCCACCTATCTCTTCTTGTGTTGTGGTCTTATGAAAGCACTAGACAGATTTTTTTCAAAACAACTGGCTGGTTCTCAGATATGTTTGTATGTCTTAAAAGCATAGGGCTATCGAGCGTAACGGGTCAGATATAAGAGTTAGATATCGTAGTGAATCAATATTTCATGACAGGTGCACAAATATCTATGATTTTGGGTAAAATTATAGGAACTTTGGTTAAAAGCCATTAATGAGTACAAGACATTTCTTTTCAATCAATTCGTAAGAGCATCTTAAAATGAAAATATCCCTTGCATTTTGCATTATGATACATTCATAAGTGACTCTAAAGCCGTCGCAAACGTTTCTAGTAGTATTTTTGTGAACAATGATAAATGGTTCAGAAGTCAGGTATGTGACTAGTAAATCTATACAATCTATTTGACTTATCTCAAAACTAATAAAGCTGTAACCTCCCTTTAAGTTCTTGAATAGATATGGAGTAGACTGCAAACCCAGATGCAAAAGGATTGAACCAAACCCCTTTTAGGATGTGGAGAATAAAACAGCCAAGTCTTCAAAATACGAAATAAACGATATTGTACATCTACTGATCCAGTCCAATTTGCGAAAATACATAGTTAAAGGATTCGTGATTTCTTATCATTAATAAAAATATCTCATGCTAAATCACTGAATAGATTATTTTATTAAATCTTGGGGACTGGAATGGTTTTCTGCTGTTCTGTGAAATCAAATCACTTCCATTTTTTTGATGCATTGATGAGTACACCCATAAAACGCTTGTGAATATATCCCGTTTCAGTGGTGAAATTATCTGGAAAAGAAGTTTTTGATCATCGGTTGTATTGGACATATTTAATAAACAACCATTCCTTCAGATATTTTATACAAACAGTGCCGCTGGTTACCTAGATCTGTTTAAATATTATTGATATGAAGGGACATTCAGAAGTAGCAAAAGGTCAATCGGTGGCAATCAGAAGTGACCCAAATATCATGTGCATTTCATCGGGGTCAATGGGTCGATTTTCTGAGGATAGAGTTGTCTATATATATATATATATATATATATATATATATATATATATATATATATATATATATATATATATATATATATATATATATATATATATCACAACAATTATCTATCCAATTCAGTAGGTCATTAGCAAACCCAACATATATCTATGGGAATTTTATCACAGCAATTTTATGGTTGTTGTTTTGTGTTCTCTGCTTACGTTTTCCTTTCCACAGTTGTAAATTAATATAATTGTGCGGTAATGGCACTGTCATTGCCCCTAGAGACTATTCATACTTCCACTGGTTCCAAACTCCTGTCTCACGTTATTCTAATCTTTGTGACAAGCGTCCTCCTGAAACAATCTATGGACCACATGTTTTCAAACAATTTAATCATATGTTTTTACATTTTATGTGTTACGTTACGTTCTGTATAAGCCTGATCATTCCTCTAAATTTGCGTCCATCTTGTTATTATTTCCAAAATATAATCTCCTTGTCATCTTCCTTTCTGAATTAATGAGTGAAATATACGCGTCCGACTTATTTTATCTCGTTAGCGCTAACAAACATTAGCCAGAGAATACACATGATGTTAGTAAGGATTTATATTTCATGAGTACCCCCACGCATCATTCACTGGAATCAGAATGAAGATATGACGTCTTATTAAAAATGATAGACTTAAGAAATACATAATAATACATGTATGTAAATCGAGAACAGTTCATTTAAAATATAACTTGCATAAATGAGTGAGAATTATTAATACGAACATAATTCATTGATTAGAAGCGTTAGGGATTCAGCTGCATTTTAGGAAGACCTATATTTGGTTACAGGTAGACTATTATTTGATGAGTTTAGTTAGTCAAGAATATTATAAAAAAGACACCACACATAAATCTTAAACTGGACTATAATTTATGCGCATAAATCTAAACATATTAAGTTATATCGTCTAACATATGGATGTTTGAATATGACTAGTATATCTTACTGATATACTCATATAACACAGCAAACAACATATAAACCATTCATTTAATTCGGAAAACTGAATTTATTTTATGAATTAAATAATTCATAAAATAAATTATTTAATTCATAAAATTTTATGAATTGCCCCCTGAATGCCCTGGTACGGCCGAGAGTGGGGAGAGTCCGCTCTCCCTCTCGAAATACTCTCACACGGCCACGCGTATATAGCCTCTGCCAGGGAAGTCCTACTCATTGCCTTCTCGTGGCGGGGGTGTTGTTTACGAAAATGAGAGGACGAGAAGCGAATGTCCGGCGCTTTAACCGGATTCCAAACCAATGGTGCACATGGGCTCCAGTATCCTGCGGGTACGAATGGCGTATGAACCAATCGTTGGTCACCGGCTACCATGGGACTGCATCTCCTTACGATGCTCCACTGCCTTGTGGGTTAGACCTTTAGGTCAAAGGCTCGGGGAGTGGCCCCCTAAGATAACCACCTGCTTCGGTTTGGGCACCCGGGCAGTATCACAGCCCACACACAAATGATGAACTGTTTATGTCTATGGAAACTACTTTTGTCGCTTTGAAAAACAATCAACTGATTCAAATTATGATCACTTCAATTATTGTCATTATTAATACTAATATTATTATTACTACTATTATTGTCATTATTGTTATCATTATCATTATTATTATTATTTTCCACATTATTCACCTTCTTTTATACTTATACAGCGGCTCGTCTTTGGTGGAATTCCGACTGTATCTAAACGTTCTCGAGTCACTGTCCGGTTGAAAATTGTATGTTACCACCGAATACGAGGACTGAAGCAGATTTTCTGAAACCACGTGCACCATTCAAACTGGCTGCCTTCAACGTTCGCACATTTATGCAGGTCGGACAACAGATAGGGCTGGCTATGTCTTTGGAAAGTCTTAATATCGACGTGTGTTGTCTATCCGAGACCCGTATTCAAGACTCTGGCGAAGTACTACAAATTCGATCTCCATCTGTCGCTTCGAAAAGCTTGTTTTACGTGCGCTTATCCGGGGACCCTGTGGCATCTTCGTCTGGTGTTGCTGGCGTTGGTGTCGCACTAAGCG